GTAACACTTTATTTTCTAAATAATGGCGTCAGTCATGTGATGTTAAACAATCCCATGTAGTCAGGTACAGAAATGCACAAACCATCCATAGTAGCACGCGATTGTCAAGCGTTTCCGAACTTGACTTAAGGGGTGTCAAGGTTGGATGTCAAGTGTCGTTGTTATACATTACTTCCGGTCTGTGTTGTTTATACGACACGTACACATGATCGTGTTACATCCCCTTTGTCTAAATATTTCTATAATAGATCACATGAGCAGACAGGCACATGACATTCACGTGTTAACACCTCCACATGGACATTGCCCAACAAGACACGAGTATATGCATCACATGATCTATATGTACACTGTATACAAATGTTAAAAATAAAACTTAATACTTCTCTGTTCATTATCTTAAAGGAAAACTAGACCAATCAACAAACGATAGACGAGAGAGGCAAACTGTTAATGATCGTCTGGTCTCCCTCCTACCACGACAATACTTGTATCAACAGAGTAATTGGTTTGGCGTTTTACGTTCTCGCAACATCTCAGGTCATGTAAAGACAGTGCAAACATATGACAGGGTCACTCAGGGTCCATTTTACAGTGTCATCTTACTGGAATGTCATAAACTGGACACAGTAGCATGGCACTCTAAACGGCCATATTATACTGACATAGGTTTACCAGTTCTTACAAACACACAATTAATGCAGAACGTCGAGCAGAGAGCGGTGTTGTTTTTTTTATAGGGTTTGATGTGTGTGTATCGTTTGAGTTTCTTGTTAATGCTTTAAGCCCGAAATAACCCCGAATGACATTGTGTCGTTGGGCCGCTTTAACAAATCCTGAGACCAGAACCGTACCGCACTTGGCAGAGCTCTCAACACTAACATCAACTGTGATCAAGGCATTGCCAAGTACAATTCACGGTGCTCTGATTGATTGGTTTGATGTCTTTGGGTTAACACCCGTCATGTCGCGCATCTGATGCCGAAGGTTTACACCCGTCATGACGCGCATCTGATGCCGAAGGTTTACACCCGTCTGATGCCGACTGCATAGTGCTACCTCATTGCAATACTATGCTCAAATCTGCTGCCCCCATTGCAACGTTTGAGAACTCTATATTTGTTCTACTTCTTTAAACTAGGGAGTAGATAGGGCTCCTAACGAATTAGAAACAGACAATGAATCAATCTGGGCAGACATCTCCATGACAAATTCACACAACCTCACCATAGGAGCAAACTATAGACCACCATCAGATAAAGGACACTCACTAGAACAACTAGAAATCTCTATGAACAGGCTAGGTCACAACAACAACACAATAACATACGTAAGTGGAGATTTCAACTTACCACACATAGACTGGCAAAACAACACAACCATACCAGGCAAACAAGAACAAAAACTCCACCAGCACCTTCTGGACATCATAGACAACAACTCCCTCACACAAATAACGACAAAGCCCACCAGAAGAAACCACATACTCGACCTGACACTTACAAACAGACCATCAATCATTAACAAGACTGAAACCACACCACCTATAGGTAAATCTGACCACGACATAATCTACACTGAAATTGACGTTCGACTGAAAAGAATAAGAAGAGAACCTAGAAACATATACCTCTACAACAAAGCTGACTGGAACAACATAAGAAACGACCTCACACTTCTAAACACAAAACTAAACGAACAACCTAACCAAACTGCAGACAATCTTTGGAACATGTTCAAAACAACACTTGCTAATTCAGTCACCAAAAATATCCCTCAAAAACACATCACATACAAATCCAAACTCCCTTGGATAACACATTCTCTCCTTCGACTCATGAGAAAACAATTACACATGAAAAGCAAAACAAAACATGAACTTATACAGAAATATAAATCAGCAAAATCAGAACTACAAAAACAAACACGCAATGCTTACCTTAACTACATAGAAAAAATGATAAAAGACCTACCAATAGACGAACCCAGCACACCCTCGCCTAGCAAAAAATTCAATTGCAAAAAACTATTCTCCTACATAAAAACCACAAGAAAAGAAAACACTGATATAACCGCATTAAGAAAAAACGGACAATTAATAAATGACACCACATGCAAGGCACACATACTAAACGAACAATTTGAATCTGCATTCACCACAGAACAGGACTGCCCCATACCAGACAAAGGACCTTCTCCACAACCTCTCATGCCAGGTTTACACATTACAGAACAAGGCATCTACAAACTAATCAATAAAATCAACCCACATAAAGCACCAGGACCTGACAATATTCACGGCAGAATCCTCAAAGAATTAAGTGACATCACAGCACCCATTCTCACAAAAATCTTCCCCCGCTCACTCACTACAGAAACACTACCATCAGATTGGAAACACGCAAACGTCAACCCAGTATACAAAAAAGGAGACAAGTACAATCCGACAAATTACAGACCAATTTCACTTACCTGCAGCACATGTAAACTTATGGAACACATCATAACAAGCGCCACAATGACACACCTGGAGAACAATAACATATTATATGACCTACAACACGGCTTTAGATCCTCCAGATCCTGCGAAACCCAGCTCACCACATTCATACACGACCTCGCATCAAACAACAACATCAACAAACAGACAGACATCATCATTATGGACTTTGCCAAAGCTTTCGACAAAGTCCCACACAAACGACTACAATACAAACTCAAATACTACGGGATAACAGGCAACACACACGCATGGATTACAGACTTTCTTTCATTTCGCACCCAAACAGTAGTACTCGAGGGCAAACAATCAGACAAAATACAACTAACCTCTGGGGTCCCTCAAGGAACCTGTTTGGGCCCCATCCTCTTCCTCATCTACATAAATGACTTCCACGAATACATGAAATACAGCACACTTAGACTATTTGCAGATGACAGCATAATATACAAGACAATAAACAACAAAGAAGACACATTAAAACTACAACACGACCTCGATGCAGCAGGACAGTGGAAGACAGACTGGCTAATGCAATTTCACCCCGACAAATGTAACATACTTAACATTACACCGAAACGCAACAAAATACACCATGATTACAAACTCCACAACCACACATTACCCAAAGTAGAAACAAGCAAATACTTAGAACTAACACTAAAAAACAACCTACGATGGGACAAACACATAAACAATATCACAGCCAATGCCAATAGGTCCCTAGGTTTTCTCAAACGCAACCTTAAAATAAACTCACCAAATATAAAAGAACATGCATACAAAGCACTAGTAAGGCCTAAACTTGAATACTCCTCTTCCATTTGGGATCCACACAACACAAACCAAATTAAACAAATAGAAAAAACACAACGAAGAGCAGCACGCTACGTACAAAACAGATACCACAACACTAGTTCCGGAACACACATGATCCACACACTTCAATGGCCAACACTACAAACACGACGCTTATACACTAGAATTATCCTTTTTTACAAAATTATACACAGAATCGTAGCTTTAAGCCCAACACATATACTCATACCTGTAGACCCCCGCACAAGACAGGTACACCCGTACGCATACGAACACATATCTGCTACAAAGGACACCTACAAATACTCATTCTTCCCACACACAGCAACACAATGGAATCTCCTTCCCTTAGCAGCAGTCCAATGCACAACACTAGAGGACTTCAAGGCACTCTTACCCTACACAGCCCTTGAAGCCCTCATCACACACTAGTATATACACCAGATTTTAACTTTTTTATCTATAACTTGCACAAAAAAAAATCACAAAAAAAACCCAAAAAAACCCACCCCTAATCACTATAAATAACCCCCTTCACGCCTCTACAATAGGACCCCCCGATGGCATAATCATCAAACTGATGGAGCCCTCGTATCAAGAAGAAGAAGAAGAAGAAGAAGAACGCAGCGCGTATCCGACATCAAGTGTTAGCCGGCCGCATCCTACATCCGGTGTTAGCAGCCCGTATCCTACATCCGGTGTTAACAGCCCGTATCCTACATCCGGTAGATATTTAGCTGCCTCTCTCTGATTAATAATAGACGCGTCCACAATCTGATTAAAATCATATGTTACATGGCTTCGTTTACTTCGTAGTAACAGATGATTTTAATCAGATTGACGCGTTCACAGAGAGGCCGTTGTTTTTTACCTTCATTACACGTGCTTACAGTTTACGCAATGAAAAAATCAATCTTACCTTTATGCTTGTGACCAGTCATTCACTGGCAAACACTGCTTGATCGAATGCGTCGATTGTTAGCAAATATTTGGTAAATTCTATAGTGTAAAAACTGTGAAAAAAGTTGTTAAATTCAAATTCTGTGCCATTAATATATGAGTATTTATTCTCGTTCGACCCCGACAGAAACATATGATACATGGTGTACAACCAGTTCGTTCGCTATCAATACACACTATAGTTATTTACTTCTTTTCAACATTTTCAACTTTTAGTTTAAGTTGATGCATTATTAGTGTTGTTTGGTCCTTAACAAAACCGCTAGCGCCTTGCTTGACAATACCTCATATTTGGCCTGAGTGTTTAACGTTCACCTAAGTGGAGAAGCTAGCTAATAGGTTCAATACCCAGATCGGAATATATTACCAAAGAAAAATGGGAGTTGTTATTATCTGTAAAACGCTCGGCAATTACGGTAATCACAACCACTAGTTAACCCGATTGCCTAATCGATTGTATTGTAGCCTCAGCTTACACAATACCACCGAACTACAACAAAGTAATGGTATTATCAGCGATATTGTGACAATAGCTAACACAACGTCACAAAAATAAAGCCTCCTGGAAAACAAAACCTACATACCGACTTCTGAATGACTCAGCGATTAACAACGTAAAAATGCAAATGAATTGTAACAGATACAGTCGCTGAAATAACTCGAGTGTAAGCCGTTTGTCAATAATTCTACATCTCTGTAATACTACGTTATAACAACTCACCAGCAACAGTCGCCCATGTCTGCTGTCTAACAGTAGAGAAGTTCAGTGGTGTGAAACAGCTGTGGATATAGCCGTGTATATCCCGATCTACACTTCAACGACTGTCATTATCCAATAGGTTTCCACAATTAGTAAAGGCGAGTTTATGTACCAGGCTTTTCAATAGATGGTTTTCAAGTGAGCAATTAATTTGAGGTCAAAGGTCATATATTTCCTCTACAAAGCATTGTTCAAAAAGATTAAAAGAACAAAACTGTCACTCGATATAGACCGTGCCCCCC